TAACCTTCCTCATGGGCAACCCTCTTATTTGGGATTAGTCTTGTTGCAAACCTTTGCATTTTTCTCTGTTTCTTTACTGCTTGGCAGGTGTGGGTTCCAAACGGGTGCCGCTTCTCCAATATGGGCCTAACGTACACGGTGTATAGGGCCCCTAAACGATTCCTTTTAAAGATGTCGGAATGCTTTCGGGGGTTCCCCGGCGCCCTATGCTGCAGCAGTTTTTTGGTTATGTGCGCTTCAGGAGTGTGCCGGGTGTTATACTCCCCCCAAGATTTTTTTCCTTAGTGATGTTTGTAGTCTCGCCCCCCTAGACTGTACCCATCTGCGGTTTCTTTCCCTTCCCCAATCCCATGATTTTGCACTTGGGGTTTTAAACTCCGGAGCAGTTGCGGGACCAGGTTGCAGCCTGCCCAGACCCTTGATTTCTGCCTGGTCTTCGATCGAATGAATTTTTCTCTCAATTTTCACGCATCTGCAAACAGTGACCCTCGGATTTTTAATCCTTCCGTCATGTCTTTCAAAATACCAAAACAGCATGGTCCTAGGATGACCCCTGGGGGGACCCCCTGGTCACAGGTCCCCACTCTGACACCTCCCTGTTCCTTAACTCGCTGGTTTTTCCTGAAAAGTACCCCTGTCCTTTGCGGGCCCTTTCCCTGTTTTCCCTGTTTGGGTTTTCCATTTTTTGCCTTTCTTGTGTGGTACTGTGTCAAACGCCTTCTTGCAGCTAAAAAAATGCAATCCACCCACCCCCTCTCTCTTCTCTTACTGCTGTCACCATGTCATAGAATCCGTGGGTTTGTGACACGGGATTTCCCGTCTCTGAAACCTTTTGTTGCTGGTGTGAATCTTTCCTTTCTAGATTTCCACCTTCTTCCCCTGACAATCTTTTCCATGATTTTGCGTGCTAACAGTCATGACACTGGTCGTAGTTTAGTGCTTCTGTCTGTCCCTTTTTTAAAGATTGGTACCCATTTGCTGCTTCCATGCCCGGGCATCTCCCTTTTCGATAAGTATTAATATTGTTGTTGGGGTACACATGGGCCCCTCTGCCCCCTCTCTAGGCCCCCATGGGAGTTTTATCTGGCCCCATTCCCTTTTGGGTATTAGCCCCTCAAAAGCCTCTTCATTTTCCTGGGTTGTGTGTACTGTGCCCAGCACGGGTGGTGTACCCCACCTCTCCGTCTTTCTGGACCCCCTTCGTCCCCTCTTGAACACTTCTTTGAATCTCTTTTTGATTCCTCCATACTTCCTGTCATTTCGGCTCTCCTCCTTTTCCTTCTTAGCCTGATTACCTGGTCTTTGACGGTTTTTTTCTTCCGAGTGGCTGTATAACAGTTTTGGGCAGTTTTTGGTTTTTGCTGCTATGTCTTTTCATATTGACTTTGGGGCCCTCCTTTTTATCTGTGCATATTCGTTTCTGGTCTACGATGCTCCCCTTATTCTCCTGGGTCCTTTGCCTTTATATTTTCCTTCCCTAGCACACTTGGTTTTTGCTCCTTCTCTTTGAGTAAAACCATGGGCTCATTGGTTTTTTAATTTTGTTCCCTGGGTAAAAACCCTTTTCCTCACCCTCCTTGCACATTGTGACACATTTTCCCATCATTCTTTAAGGGGTTTCCCCCCAGTTCCTGTCCCCTAAAACTCTTCGGGAAAAGTTCTCTTTCCCTGTGTACCCCCCTTTTCCCCTGTGTTGGTTTCATTGCCCGGGCCCTTTCCTGTTTTCCCCCCTCCACTTGTAGCTCTCTGTGTATTCAAAAGCTCAAAACCACTGATCGCTGGCCCCCAAGGGTCTTTCAAATGTGTGTCCTCATATCTGCACTACTAAGGTGAATACTAAGTCCAGTCTTGCTGGTTCATCCTCTCCTCTCTCTGTAGTGCCCCTTACTGTTGGGTACTGAATTTTTCCCGTACCCCTCCATCATCTTACCCCTCCATGTTTTGGCCCCCATGGGCCCAATTCCCCCATTCGTCTCCTTGTGGAAAAAGTCCCCTGATCAGGAGCTTTGCCTAAGTATAGCTTTTTGGGCCACTGCAGCCATGTGTCAACCATCGCTCTATGCTCCGTCTCTCTTGCCTTGGCCTCCTGCTGTTCGTGGTGGGTTATACATCACTGCAATTTTCACCCTTGGGGGCCTCCCGAGTGAAGCGTCCGCTATCAATCACTTTCTTCTCCGCGTCCCTTTTCCAGTCATCAAAATTTCCCTCGGTGTTTTATCCAATGCCCCTCCCCCCCCCCCTGTTCCTTCTGTCTTTCCCCGGATCTGGTATCCCGTTGGGAGATGGCATCTGTTTATTAAACCCGTAAGTTTTTGGTTTCTGTGATTGCTATGTGTCTGGGGATCCTCTTTGACTCTTTCGTGCCCCTCCTCCACTTGTTTTTTATTCCAACAGCATTTGTGTACCATTTCCTTTAGTTTCTTTCCCAAACTTTTGGGTTTTGGGGGGCCTGTGGGGGTGGGGACCTGGTAGCATACTGTGGGTTCTATGGTTGGGGGTTGGGTGGGAAACTGTGGGTATGGATTGATTTTGTGTTGGGGTGGTGTGATAGGTTGTGGGGGTTTTGGGATAGTTGTGTTTGGCTTGCTCTTGCTGCTCGTTTTGCTCGGACTGACCTCGTGGTTCCATCTTGTTCCTTTCCTAGCTCCTTTCGCTTTTTTTTTCCTCTCCCTAGCTCTGTCTCTTTTTTGTGTTTTGTCTTGTCTAGGAACACCTTTTGTACTCTTCCCGGTTCTCAACCGTGGTTTTTCTTGGAGGATCCTGTCCGCCGTTCTGTCCCGGAACAGCTTGATCGGTCGGTTTCTCCCTTCAAGTACCCCCCCCTTTTTCTGAAAATTTACAATCTCGTCCTGTCTTCTCCCCCATTTCCGTGATGTTTTCCAATCTCCTTTCTTTCTTCCTGCCGTCTTTCGTGTGTTCCCTTTTCCCCTCTCTCCCAAAGCCCATGGATAAACACTGATTTCCCCTTTCCCCCTCCCCCTTGCCCCTCCCTTGTGACTCTGGTTCCTGTCTGATGTGGCCATTTTCTCCCTTTATTTTTCCAGGGGTCTTGGAGCATGGTTGGCCTCAGCATTCGACTTATCTCCCTCCATCTGCACCCCTCTGCTCTTCCCTTTCCCCTCCCGGCCCTTCTTTGCAGCTGATGGACCTTAGCATTTTCATATCTCCTTTCCCTTCCCGTTCAGCCCTCCTTCGTATGGTGGTCTTTTTCTACCCCTGAGACTTGTTTCGCCGTTTACTCAAATTCTAGGCCTTTCCGGTCTGCAGTTTTGGGGCTTGTGCCCCCCAAATTTTTTGTCTCCTTTTGCAATTTTTCCCATTTCACAGAGAGCTCCTTTTTTTCCATTTTTTTTTAGAAAGCTCTCCTAATTTTTCTTCCCCCTTCTTGCCTATCCTTTTCATGCTCCTCCTCCCTTCCTCCTTACCCGGACCATTGTCATCTGACCCTGATTCCGCGAGTCCCAACCATTTTTTTTTTATTTAAAAAAGAAAGTTAAAAAAGAAAAAAGGGGGAGAGAGTGAGAGAGAGGGAGAAAAAAGAGAGAAAAGGGGGGGGTTTAGAAGGAGGGGAAAAGGGGAGGGGAAATGAGAGAGAGGGGAGTGACAAGGGAAAAAAGGGGGGGAGAGAGAATAGGAAAGGGGAGAGAAAGAGAGGAAGAGAGAGGGGGAAGGGAGGGGGGAAAGGGGGAGAGGGAGAGAGAGGAAAGAGAGAGTGAAGGGAAGAGAGAGAGGAAAAAAAAGAGAGGAAGAGGGGGAGGAAGAGGGAGAGGGAAAAAAGAGGATGAGAGAGAGAGAGAGAGGGGAGAGAGAGGAGGAGAGGAAGAGGAAGAGGGGAGAGGGAGGGGGGGGGGGGGGGTTTAAGGAAGGGTTAGAGGATCACTTCACAGGAAGGTGTGAAAACCTGTTATGGGTGTTAGTTAGTTACCCTTTTTTCCTAGGCACATGTCAATTGACACTTGGCCTGTTGTATATAAGGTGTGTGTGTGTGTGTGTGTGTGTGGTGTGGTTTTGGGGTGTTGTGTGTGTGTGTGGTTAGTTACCATTTGTCCCTAGGCAGTCGATTAGACATTGGGCCCGTTGTATAAGAGGATGGTGGGGTGTTGTGTGTGTGTGTGTGTGTTGTGTGTGTGTTGTGTGGGTGTTGTGTGTGGTACGTACGTACCGCCTAGTTGGGTTTTCGGGGGGCGTTATTAGTTTCCATTTTGTCCTAGGCACTCGATTTGACACTTGGCCCGTTGTATATAAGAGTGTGGGGTGTGTGGTGTGTGTGGGTGTTGGGGGGTGTGTGTGGTGGTTTGTTACCATTTTGTCCCAGGCATGTCAATTTGACACTTGGCCTGTTGTATATAAAGGTGTGTGTGTGTGTGTGGTGGGTGGTGTGTGTGTATGTTTATGTGTGTGGCATGTGTGTGTGTTTAGTGTGTGCATGTTGGTGTGTGTGGTGTGTGTGGTGCTGTGTTGGGTCGTGGTTGTGGCCCCCCCCTTCTAAGTATTCATACTGCTAATAAATATCAGTAGTAATACCCGTATTTCTAAAACTACCAACAGTGATTCTAGCACTTATCACTTCTACTTATAAAACACAGAAAGTAATTAGGTTGTAAAATTTAGCTTGTCTGAGCTTCTAGGAGTGTCTGACATCACCCTCACTAGGCTTCCCCTCGCTAGGCTTCCCCTCGCTAGGCTGCTCCTCGCTAGTCAACACTATCTTCACCTTATCTATGCTATTTCTGCTCTAATTCTGGTAATAGCTTGCAGGAGTGAGTGACCAGTATCTAACAGTGACGCAAGGCGTGCGTGCGTGTGTGTGTGTGTGTGTGTGTGTGTGTGTGTGTGTGTGTGTGTGTGTGTGTGTGTGTGTGTGTGTGTTATATCATTATAAACTGACCTTAAAATCTATTCATAAACACTTCAACATAGAAAATAATTTTTCTAGTTATTCTAATGTTTATATTTTTCTCTCCCGTTCTCTAATGTCCGAATCCATGGGTCTGGCTCAGACTCAAACTTCCTCATACGCAGCAGTAAGTCTATCTTGCTTGTGGAGTTATATATTTACGTGCATGTGTTTGTCAGTGTAAGCTTGTATGTACTTCTGTGTGCGTGTATATGCACATGTGTGAAGGTCTGCATGTGTTTGGTGTAGCACTCGGACATTTGTTTGTTGGGCTGGTGACTGAGGATATGTGAACCTGCTGACCTTGGTGCACGACGACTGAGTAGATATGATAAAACAGAAGAAGTCATGAACTAGTAATGTTCATTGAAAGAGTCTAGATCATTTTAATACATATTTTGAAAATGGTATAAAATACCGACAAGTTGAAGATTAAGACAAATGTGCAACAGTTGGGTATCTTTGTTGTTGAAACGTTTCACCTACACAGTAGACTTCTTCAGTCAAGTACAGAGGCAGCAGGTGTAGTGGTGAAATGATGTAATCAGTCCATCAGCCTGGAGAAGAGTTTAGCTCCATGGAGCTGAACTCTTCTCCAGGCTGAGGGACTGACCACCTCAAATAGTATTTCTCCGAAGTTGATGGACTGCTTACATTTCACTACTACACTTGCTACCTCTATATCTGACTGAAGAAGCCTACTGTGTAGGTGAAACCTTTCATAAATAAAGATACCCAACTGTTTCACATTTGTCTTAATCATTAATTAAATTTGCTCCTAAGCTAACGTACAGTATTTCATAATACATGTAATGTATGTGCACACTTGACGAGTTCTAGGGGTGTCCCGTGGCTCGATTGGCAGCGCATTTAACTCGTATAGTGAGTGTCCGTGGTTCAGTCCCCGGCACGGGTGGAAACGTTGTGAATGTTTCCTTACACCTGCTGTCCCTGTTCAGTGATTAGGTACCTGGGTATTAGTCGACTGTTGTGGGAGGTATCCTGAAGGGGGATAGTATACCTCAGATAGGACTGGGCTTTGAAATAAGCTGAGGTAGGATAACACCACTTACCTTGTTAAACTGATTTGTGTAAAAAAAAAAAAACTTTAGTTTTGTGGGTGACTGAAGGTTGTGGAGTCGTAGCTAAGGAATTCTCTCAGAAAAACTGTTTTGTCGTTCTTTATGTAGCCAGGTAAACTACTCCTTAATTGTATATTTATAACTTATCCCTGCTTGCACTTTTTTCAAGCTTGTATTCTCCGTAAATACTGGTCCTTTCCCCTATATGTCTTGGGATCATTAAGCATGTCTGTGTTGTGGGACCTCAGAGCCTGTCTGTGTTGTGGGACCTCAGTGCCTGTCTGTGTTGTGGGACCTCAGTGCCTCTCTGTGTTGTGGGACCTAAGTGCCTGTCTGTGTTGTGGGACCTCAGTGCCTGTCTGTGTTGTGGGACCTCAGTGCCTGTCTGTGTTGTGGGACCTCAGTGCCTGTCTGTGTTGTGGGACCTCAGTGCCTGTCTGTGTTGTGGGACCTCAGTGCCTGTCTGTGTTGTGGGACCTCAGTGCCTCTCTGTGTTATGGGACCTAAGTGCCTGTCTGTGTTGTGGGACCTCAGTGCCTGTCTGTGTTGTGGGACCTCAGTGCCTGTCTGTGTTGTGGGACCTCAGTGCCTGTCTGTGTTGTGGGACCTCAGTGCCTGTCTGTGTTGTGGGACCTCAGTGCCTGTCTGTGTTGTGGGGCCTCATTGCCTGTCTGTGTTGTGGGACCTCAGTGCCTCTCTGTGTTATGGGACCTAAGTGCCTGTCTGTGTTGTGGGACCTCAGTGCCTGTCTGTGTTGTGGGACCTCAGTGCCTGTCTGTGTTGTGGGACCTCAGTGCCTCTCTGTGTTATGGGACCTAAGTGCCTGTCTGTGTTGTGGGACCTCAGTGCCTGTCTGTGTTGTGGGACCTCAGTGCCTGTCTGTGTTGTGGGACCTCAGTGCCTGTCTGTGTTGTGGGACCTCAGTGCCTGTCTGTGTTGTGGGACCTCAGTGCCTGTCTGTGTTGTGGGACCTCATTGCCTGTCTGTGTTGTGGGACCTCAGTGCCTCTCTGTGTTATGGGACCTAAGTGCCTGTCTGTTGTGGGACCTCAGTGCCTGTCTGTGTTGTGGAACCTCACTGCCTGTCTGTGTTGTGGGAACTCGGTGCCTGTCTGTGTTGTGGAACCTCAGTGCCTGTCTGTGTTGTGAGACCTCAGTGCCTGTCTGTGTTGTGGGACCTCAGTGCCTGTCTGTGTTGTGAGACCTCAGTGCCTGTCTGTGTTGTGGAACCTCACTGCCTGTCTGTGTTGTGGGAACTCGGTGCCTGTCTGTGTTGTGGGACCTCAGAGCCTGTCTGTGTTGTTGGGCCTCAGTGCCTGTCTGTGTTGTGGGACCTCAGTGCCTGTCTGTGTTGTGGGACCTCAGTGCCTGTCTGTGTTGTGGGAACTCAGTGCCTGTCTGTGTTGTGGGACCTCAGTGCCTGTCTGTGTTGTGGGACCTCAGTGCCTCTCTGTGTTATGGGACCTAAGTGCCTGTCTGTGTTGTGGGACCTCAGTGCCTGTCTGTGTTGTGGAACCTCACTGCCTGTCTGTGTTGTGGGAACTCGGTGCCTGTCTGTGTTGTGGAACCTCAGTGCCTGTCTGTGTTGTGAGACCTCAGTGCCTGTCTATGTCTCAGTCAGTTCCTCCCTGCGTGGTAGTACAGTCATTGTGTGTGTACGAGGGTAGTAACCATGATCATCAACCAGACTTACACAGCGTCCAGGCTTCTCCTTCTACCCTCACACCAATCTTGTGCCCTCACCTGAGATATAGCTTCACCTGACCAATACAGCGCCTCACCTGAACCTTGCCTGGTCTCACCTTAAGTGAGAGTTTCCTTGTAGATGAATGGTTCAGAGAACCGACATGTTGATAAATTAGACACATGTGCAACTCTTGGGTATCTTTATTGAGGAAACGTTTCGCCACACAGTGGCTTCATCAGTCCATACGTAGGAGAAACTTGAAGAACAGGAGGAGAATGAGGTAATCAGTCCCTCAACCTTGAGTCGATGTGTTCAGTCCATCAATCTTGAATAGAATACGGCATACGTGCTGAGAAGGAGCTTATAAACCGTATGGCAGGAGAGGTGCAGCAGTCATAGATGGTGTCACATTTAAGAACATAAGAACATAAGAACATAAGAACGAAGGAACACTGCAGAAGGCCTACTGGCCCATGCGAGGCAGGTCCAAGTCTCCTACCGGCTTAAGCCAATGCACCCAACCTAGTCAGGTCAGGTCACATTGACTTAAGGGAGGAACACGGCAACCGACCTGGTAGCACAAGCTATCAGGTCTAACTCACACCCACCCACATCCACTCATGTATTTATCCAACCTATTTTTAAAGCTACACAACGTTCTGGCCTCTATAACGGTACTTGGGAGTTTGTTCCACTCATCCACAACTCTATTACCAAACCAGTACTTTCCTATATCCTTCCTGAATCTGAATTTTTCCAACTTAAAACCATTGCTGCGAGTCCTGTCTAGGCTAGATATTTTCAGCACACTATTTACATCCCCTTTATTTATTCCTGTCTTCCATTTATACACCTCAATCATATCCCCCCTAATTCTACGTCTTTTCTAGAGAGTGCAGATTCAGGGCCCTTAGTCTATCCTCATAGGGAAGGTTTCTGATACATGGGATCATCTTTGTCATCCTCCTTTGTACATTTTCCAGAGAATTTATATCCATTCTGTAATACGGTGACCAAAACTGTGCAGCATAATCTAAATGAGGCCTAACCAAGGATGTATAGAGTTGAAGAACAACCTGAGGACTCCTATTATTTATGCTTCTTGATATGAAGCCAAGGATTCTATTAGCTTTATTGCGAACACTTATGCACTGTTGTCTTGGTTTCAGATTACTGCTAACCAGAACTCCTAAATCTTTTTCGCAATCCGTAATATTAAGATCTACATTATTTAGTTTATATGTGGCATGGTTATTGTCCTGTCCAACATTTAGAACTTTGCATTTGTCTATATTAAACTGCATCTGCCACTTCTCCGACCACTGCATCAGTCTATTCAAATCTTCCTGGAGTGCTCTAATGTCCTCGTCAGAATGAATTCGACGGCCTATTTTGGTGTCATCGGCAAACTTGCCGATGTCGCTCTTTATGCCCTCATCTATGTCGTTTATGTAGATTGTGAACAGCAGGGGGCCCAACACTGACCCCTGTGGAACACCGCTCGTGACACTTCCCCACTCTGATTTCTCCCCATTTATGCAAACTCTCTGCTGCCTATTTGTCAACCATGCCTCTATCCAGGAAAAAATTTCTCCTCCTATTCCATGTGCTTTAATTTTCCTCAATAGTCTCTGATGTGGGACCCTGTCAAAAGCCTTACTGAAGTCCATATACACAATATCATATTCATTACCATGATCTACCTCCTCAAATACCTTAGTGAAAAAAGTTAATAAATTCGTAAGGCAGGAACGCCCCTTTGTAAAACCATGCTGAGATTCGTTGATTAATTTATGCTTTTCAAGGTGGCTACGAACTGCCTCGGCAATTATTGATTCAATAAATTTTCCCACTATGGAGGTTAGGCTTATTGGTCTATAGTTCGAAGCTAAGGACCTGTCACCTGTTTTGAAAATAGGTATCACATTTGCCATTTTCCACTTATCTGGCACCATGCCAGTTTGTAGTGATATGTTGAAAAGATTAGCCAAAGGTGTGCTAAGCTCCTCTTTACATTCCTTTAGAACCCTTGCATACAGTTCATCAGGGCCTGGGGATTTGTTAGGTTTTAATTTATCTATTTGCCTAAGGACCATGTCACTTGTGACCCTAATAGTGCACAGTTTATTATCGTCCTGTTCTACATAATTTATCATTACTGGAATATCGCTGGTATCCTCCTGTGTTAAAAACTGAGAGGAAGTATGTGTTAAAAATTCTACACATTTCCTTATCACTGTCAGTGAGCTGACCCGAGGAACTTTTGAGTGGGCCTATCTTGTCCCTGATCTTACTTCTGTATACCTGAAAGAATCCTTTTGGGTTAGTCTTCGATTCTCTTGCAACTTTAACCTCATAATCTCTTTTTGCTTTTCTAATTCCCTTTTTTATTTCTCTCTTTAACTGAATATATCGATTTCTCAATTGCCCCTCTCCTCTTTTGATTTGCCTATATATGCCTCTCTTTGACCAATCAGATATTTTAATCTATTGTTCATCCATTTAGGATCATTTTTGTTTGATCTGATTTCCCTATTTGGAACATAATTTGACTGAGCAGCTAGAACTATGCCCTGGAAAGCATCATATCGGCAACCATCACCACCTACCTGACCCTTAGTCAGGTCATTCCAGTTCAGCCCACCTAAGTAATTTTTCAGTCCTATGAAATCAGCCAAGCGAAAGTCAGGGACGGAGACTTGATTGCCATTATTAGGGGAATTCCATGATATATTAAAACTGAGTGATTTGTGATCACTTTCCCCAAGCTCATCATTAACCTCAAGATTATTAATTAGTGTTTCCCTACTGGCAAGAACCAAGTCAAGGAGGTTATTTCCCCTAGTTGGCTCTGTCACAAACTGTTTTAAAAAACAATCCTGGATCGTATCAAGAAAGTCACCTGACTCTAAATTTCCTGTCAAATTGCTCCAGTCAATCTGTCTATAGTTGAAATCTCCCATTAGCACAACATTTTCGTATGTAGATGCCTTACGAATTTCGTCCCATAGAAGTTTACTGCACTCCCTATCAAGATTTGGGGCCCTGTAAATCACACCCAAAATTAGTTTTTCTCGGCCCTCGAGAAGCTGTAACCAAACAGATTCAGTGGCTGACGCTTCTAATTTAATATCTTGTCTAACACAACAATTTAAATTGTCTCTGACATACATCGCTACTCCACCACCTTTCCTGTTGACCCTGTCAGTGTGGAATAATTTATAGCCTTGTATGTGACATTCAGAGGGCATCTCTCTATCTTTCAGATTGAGCCAGGTCTCTGTTATAGCAATAATATCTATGTTTCCTGCACTTGCAATTAATCTTAGCTCATCTATCTTATTTCTTACACTCCTGCTATTAGTATAGTAAACCTTAAGGGAGCTAGTCCCTTGCTGCCTCTGCTATCCCCCTTTGTTTGCTGACCTGATCTATTGTCTTTATTTATAACTTCATGCTGAATGCCTTTTATACATTTACTGTTTCCAACCCAAGTGTTGCAACCTGCTTGTTTCCCACACACACCCATACCTCTATCTTCCATCAGTTTAAAATCATAGGCATTTCACCAATGGCCTTCTCAATCGAGTCTGCAAGTGCTACCACCCCAGCCCCAGAGAGATGTACCCCATCCCTTGCATACATATCATGTTTGCCATAAAAGTTGTTCCAGTTGTCAATGAATGGGATTGCAAGTTCCTTGCAGTATCTGTCTAGCCAGCAATTTACACCAATTGCCCTAGACAACCATTCATTTCCTACTCCCCTTCTAGGCAAGATGCTACATATGATTGGGATCCCTCCCTTAGACTTAATGAAATCTATAGCTGACCTGTACTTATCTAGCAGCTCTTCTCTCCTACCCTTCCCAATATCATTTCCACCAGCACTGAGACAGATAATGGGCTTGCCCAAGAATTAGGCAAGCGAAGAATTCCTAAGTATTGATTGATGGACTGAACACATCGACTCAAGGTTGAGGGACTGATTACCTCATTCTCCTCCTGTTCTTCAAGTTTCTCCTACGTATGGACTGATGAAGCCACTGTGTGGCGAAACGTTTCCTCAATAAACATACCCAAGAGTTGCACATGTCTAATTTATCGAGAGTTACCTTGTTTCACCTATGGTTAAGGTTGTGAAGCAGTGTGAACATCTTGGTTCCCTCACCTGGCTTCAATAATAAAGCTATATTTCACACTGACTCACAAATTAGAAGTGCAGCTGGATGACGATTGTGCGAGTCCTCGACCATTACCACTCAAGATTCCATGTTTGTCCAGGACGGACAGAAATGTTCTCTAGTTTCTTTTTCAGTTCGTGGGTTCAGAGTAAATTCTTCTAGCCAAGGTATTGTGACAGCAGTACCTTGCTCTGTATTCACCTGTTTGTGGTTGCAGGGGTCGAGTCACAGCTCCTGTGTGTGTGTGTGTGTGTGTGTGTGTGTGTGTGTGTGTGTGTGTGTGTGTGTGTGTGTGTGTGTGTGCCTGCGTGTGTGCGTGTATGTCACGGCTATGGCAGGTCCGCCGCTCTTTCAAGCTGACATCTTTCAAGGTGGTAGAAAAAGTTTCAACAAATTGGAGTCTTTTATTGGTATGTTTTCGCCCAGCATTGTGACCGATGTACAAATAAAAGACCACTTTTTTTTTTTGCCAAGTGTCGCCATCTTGGCGTTGTCTTCTTCCAGGTTATCTAACGCCCATGTCTTCTTTCACTCAGAGTTCCCTGACGAGGAGCAGACGACCTTGCTGCCATGCACCATCTGCAACAGAACCTTCAATCCTCAGGCGCTCGACCGCCACAGGAAAGTTTGCGAGAAACTCTCGTCCAAGAAGCGCAAGGTGAGTCCAAGGCTGATGCTATCATCTGATGGCTGACTGATGCTATCTTCTGATGGCTGACAGATGCTATCTTCTGATGGCTGACGCTGACAAGGTGGCACTTATTGTCTAGTTAGGGTATAGCATAGTTTCAGAGGTTATGATGGCCAATTATTGAGCTGAACTGGTGTCACTCACTGAATCACAATATTTACGTCCCAATTTTTGAGGCTGCTTAATTTTTGCTATCCTTACAAAAAATATAGGAAAAGCTTAAAGGTTAATAATTAAGAATTTCCACACATCACTTTTCAAAAAACTACATTTTTACTGCTCTGGTGATACCAGAGTAGCCAGTTTCTTGTTCCAGCGCCTCAGTGTTGCGATCCAGAGAGGCACTGCCTGTTGCATCCTATCCACACGCCTTACATCTTGAAAAGCTAGATGAAGCTTTAAAATGTAAATATTGACAAATTTATCTCTGCATACCGTAATTTTCATTACCATGGTAACAAAGCAATATAACACCACTGAAAGAAAGGGCTGGTAACAGATACTCATCCAGCATAAGTAGAAAAACAAACGTTTTATAGTTTTTTTTTTTTTAATTCTGTTGGAATCCAAGAGGTGCTCAGAACTGTAAAACTCGTACCGCTTTCACGTTGACTTTTATAATAATAATAATAATAATAATAATAATAATAATAATACTGGCAGAATTGGTACCACTTCAACTGTGACCTTTTTCTAGCAGACACGTTTAAAACTAAGTCAGTTTTCCTTTCTTTAAGAATTAATGTACAATCATTTGGAGTTCTTATTGAAGATTCGTAGATGTTTTACCGTGTAGTGTGTGTGTGTGTGTGTGTGTGTGTGTGTGTGTGTGTGTGTGTGTGTGTGTTGTGTGTGTGTGCAGTACACATGTTGGATGGCCTAGTGAAAGCTATATGCATCTGTTGTAAATTTGTAATGTTTAGCTTGACCTAACATGATATGAATTTTTTCATTTGAATCCACTCCAATTTTATTAATCCAACCAAACTTTAGCCATTTAAATTTTACTTTGTTTATCTAAATTATATTAACGAAGCAAATCTAAGCTTCAAGTAAACTCGTCCAGCCTTTCAAACTTAGTTGGTTTAGTCATAATTTCAGTCAAACCTTTGCTGCATAATTTAACTTAATGTAATACTCTTATGTGAGACTACAGAAGTCATGTCAGGTCCCCTGCGGTCATGCGAGTCGTTATGCGAGGTCCCTGGGGTCATGAAATGCCCCTAGGATTGTTATGCGAGGCCAGTGGTGTTATGCAAAGCCTTTGGAGTTACATAACGCCGAGAAAATCGTTATCTAAGACCCAGAAGGTCGTTATGCAAGGACCACAAGCTCGTTTAGCGAGGACCATAAGGTCGTTATACAAAACCCAGAAGGTCACTATGCGGGGCAACGAAATACAAATTTTAAATGCCTTGAAAATCCTTAAAAACTTCAAAAATCATGAAAATATTGCGAGATTATTTTTTTATTCAATAAGAAACATTGAGTTTTGCTATAAAACACAGTTGAGAGAGCGAAACTGATGTAGAATTACCACAGTAATGGTGGGTTGTCAGTGCTTTTAAATTAGACAGGTTAAGTTAGGTAAGATTGGTCAGGAAACAAGTGTTTCCTGACGCGGGTCTTAGTCATATGATGACCCGCCACTGGAGCTTTTGGTTATCTGACCGAGGCCTTCCACTGGCTTACTAGTCCATCCCTTTAAAAATGGCAGTAGTGAATTAGACACTAAACGCCATGAAATGTACCTAAAAAGATGAAAATATAATGTAAAAAATAGCGGAGACAAAAAATATTTTATTACTGCAGACAGTATGAATAAAAAATCTTGTGAGGTATTTTACATTTATCCTTAAAAAACTAACTTAGACTTTGTCGTGTATAATATAGATTTACCAATGTGTTGACAGGTTCTGTTTCTCACTGTCCAAAAAGCATCTGTGATTCATTATTCTTTGTATAATGTGCATAGGAGGCATTTGTAACCTGATTGTATAATAGGGTTAACAGAGTAAGGTGTTTAATTATACATGAAAGGAGTTGAATGTAAATGATGAGAAGATAAGATATATAAACTTGGTGTTTTTATGTAAGTCAGTCATGCAATGGTTGTCTCAGAGGTCAGTCATGCAATGGTTGTTTCAGAGGTCAGTCATGCAATGGTTGTTTCAGAGGTCAGTCATGCAATGATTGTCTCAGAGGTCAGTCATGCAATGATTGTCTCAGAGGTTAGTCATGCAATAGTTGCATCAGTTGGTAGTTAGCCATCACTATGGAACATAATTATTGTATAAGTGAAAGACGATAACTGTAGTCAGTTGTATAAATAGACAAGAACAGTATTTTTAGAGCCCAGCACACATTAATAAGTGATAATTATGACTTTACTCTTTAGTAGTTGAAGTACACTAGTAAAGTACACTCTGGTAGAGTACACTCTAGTAGTTACATTACACCCTTGTAGTTACCGTACACTCTAGTAGTTACCGTACACTGTAGTAGTTACCGTACACTCTAGTAGTTACATTACACTCTTGTAGTTACCGTACACTCTAGTAGTTACATTACACTCTTGTAGTTACCGTACACTCTAGTAGTTACATTAAACTCAGGTAGTTCTAAATTAGCTTGTCTCTCTGATAATGTACAGTACTCTGAAATCTGAATCTTGTGTAGTAGTGTATTGTGTATGTTGTTGTAGCGTGGTACTTCACAGTGTTGCCACATGTTACACTGTGTACCACATGATGCACAGTGGTGCCACATGATGCACAGTGTTACCACATGATGCACAGTGTTACAACATGATGCACAGTGGTGTCACATGATGCACAGTGGTGTCACATGATGCACAGTGTTACCACATGATGCACAGTGGTGCCACATGATGCACAGTGGTGTCACATGATGCACAGTGTTACCACATGATGCACAGTGGTGCCACATGATGCACAGTGTTGCCACATGATGCACAGTGGTGCCACATGATGCACAGTGGTGCCACATGATGCACAGTGTTGCCACATGATGCACAGTGGTGCCACATGATGCACAGTGGTGCCACATGATGCACAGTGTTGCCACATGATGCACAGTGGTGCCACATGATGCACAGTGTTACCACATGATGCACAGTGGTGCCACATGATGCACATTGTTGCCACAGGATACACAGTGGTGCCACATGATGCACAGTGGTGCCACATGATGCACAATGTTGCCACGTGATGCACAATGTTGCCACATGATGCACAGTGTTGCCACATGATGCACAGTGGTGCCACATGATGCACAATGTTGCCACATGATGCACAATGTTGCCACATGATGCACATTGTTGCCACAGGATACACAGTGGTGCCACATGATGCACAGTGGTGCCACATGATGCACAGTGTTGCCACATGATGCACAGTGGTGCCACATGATGCACAGTGGTGCCACATGATGCACAATGTTGCCACATGATGCACAATGTTGCCACATGTTAGGCTGCAAAACATATGTAATAATGTCAGATGTCCCATAATGTTATTGTAATGTTTTTCTTAACATTACCACAAGTTAAACATCACTTTAATACTTTACCCACTGATATGTATATTAACTTGTGTAATGATGTCACCTGATGTATATATAGATGTCTTTTGTAGTGATGTAACGTTATGTATGTAGATGTCTTTTGTAGTGAAACGTTATGTAAATGTCTTGTGTAGTGATGTCACGTTATGTAGACGTCTTGTGTAGTGATGTCACGTTATGTAGACGTCTTGTGTAGTGATGTCACGTTATGTAGACGTATTGTGTAGTGATGTCACGTTATGTAGACGTCTTCTTGTGTAGTGATGTCACGTTATGTAGACGTCTTGTGTAGTGATGTCACGTTATGTAGACGTCTTGTGTAGTGATGTCACGTTATGTAGACGTCTTCTTGTGTAGTGATGTCACGTTATGTAGACGTCTTCTTGTGTAGTGATGTCACGTTATGTAGACGTCTTCTTGTGTAGTGATGTCACGTTATGTAGACGTCTTCTTGTGTAGTGATGTCAATGTTTCATGTAGTTACTGAGACAGCTAATGTAGTTTTGTTTTTCTCCCGCATCAGAACACCTCAGCAACACACGTAAGTTTTTAGTGTGTGTGTGTGTGTGTGTGTGTGTGTGTGTGTGTGTGTGTGTGTGTGTGTGTGTGTGTGTGTGTGTGTGTGTGTAATGCACAACACTCCTCTTAAATCAAGCTGAATGTTTACATATATTAACCTTTGTGACCAGTTATAATAATAATAATAATAATAATAATAATAATAATAATAATAATAATAATAACTTGATATTTTCTAAGCAATTTTCTTAGACTTCTTTGAGTGTTCACTCTCGCCTGTTGTTCATCACCTGTTGAAGTATATCTGTTGTTCACCTCTGTTGTCGTATCTCTTCTATACTACCACCATATTACACTTTTCTCATTTATAGACCTCCACTACTACCTCCTCTCTCCCACCCCCTCTTCCCCACTACCATCACTACTACTGATCACCATCTCTCTCTCACCACCACCACTATCAATCGTCTCTCCTCCACTGCCACCACTGTCAAACTCCACCACCATCTTCACCACCACTCCACACCAACTGTCAACCACCATCTCCACCACCATCAACCATGACCACCACCACTATCAACCATCATCTCCACCACCACTATTAATCACAATCTTCCGTACCACCACCACCACCACCACCACCATTATCAACCACCATCTCCCTTACCCTAGACCTTCAGTTCGACAAAGCAGCGAGCAGACGGGTTGGAGTTGACTACGAGCGGTGGTGGTGGTCGAGGCAGGTCTCCAGAGCGCAAGACCAACCCTAAGAACAAGTCGAAATGGAGAGAGAAACATCAGGAGTTCCTGAGGGCGATCAGGGCAGCTAAGGGCGTGACGGGTGAGTCAGGGCGTGACGGGGTGAGTCAGGGCGTGACAGGATGAGTCAGGGCGTGACGGGGTGAGTCAGGGCGTGACAGAGTGAGTCAGGGCGTGATGGGTGAGTCAATTTCTGATGCCATCTCGAATAGACCAAATTTCAGTCTAGACAGTTATGTCTACCAAATGAATGGAAATTGTAAATTTTTTATTACTGTAACAACAGTGTATACTATTGACCAACTAGTTAAGCAACTTGTGAAGTTTTCATGATACTACTTGCTTAAACAAAGAATTATCCTGTATGAAAATATAGAAAAATGAGTTGTTTGCAAATTAATGTTTTTATATAGGCTGAGGCAATTTTTACTGGCAGCCAGTTGCCCAAACATAAGCAGTTATTGAACTGCTTTGCCAGTTATCTTACATCAGTTTATTTAAAGTTTGTGGGGTTAAATACACAATTGTTTTAGTTTTATATAATGTAACCGGTAAACTGTTGGTTACCTTGTCGCTGTGTCAATAACTGTTATGTCAGCATGCCTCTAGCAAGACAGTTATGGAGTGAGTGATGGCGAGTGTTTCTTCTTTTTCTGGTCCTTGGTGGGAGATGGCCAGTGTGACAAAAAAAAAAATTAATGAAGTGTATGTATTTATTACATCAAAGAAGCACTTCAGTGTAGAAAGAAAAAACTGATTAAAAAATTATATATATTTACAGTACATTATGTCTTTATAGATGTTTGTTAGTCATCTTGATTCAATAATAAAGTTTTTGGGAAGGAAGAAGCATGAGCAAGAAACTGCTGCCTCAGCCCAAGGAATGAGTCTAGAAAGTCGGTCAAAAGATCCACTTGCAGTGAAGAAAATAAAATAAAATAAAATAAAAGACTGCGTGGAACAGTCTTCCCAGTGGGGTGATAGAGGCTAGGACCTTGGGTAGCTTTAAGAAGAGACTGGACAAATATATGAGTGGGAGGGGCTGGGTTTGATTGGTGTCATTGGGTACGGGAGTTATTTCTAGGGAAGCTTTAGGTAGTAGCCGTTTTGATAAGGACCTGCCTCGCATGGGCCAGTAGGCCTTCTGCAGTGTTCCTCCATTCTTATGTTCTTATGTTCTTAAAATGAATTTTATTACCAGTCATGAACTTTGATAACTTATTGTATCAATATACTGCTTGACAGAAAAATATGTTATTCATGACTAACATGACAGTTTAGTATTAGTAAATACTGCATTATCAGAACAAGTTCTTTAATATAAAAGGGTTACCATTCAGTACAGTATTATGTGCACTGGACAGTACTGTGCTGCTTTCTTTTCCCCACCACTTCCTTACTTTAATATGTACAGCATTGTATTTACCATACAGATGTAAAGATGCATCTTCCTCACATATATTTAACCCTTAAATGGTGCAAACGTATTTATACTTTTTTGAACATTTGAAAGTATGTAAAAAAAATGTAGATCATCTTTTTTTTTTTCATTTGAAAATATGTAAAAAAAAATTTTATCTACATTTGTTTTTTTATGTTCGAAAATATGTAAAAAAAACGTAAATCTACGTTTGGAGCACTACGGATTTGAACGTCTATCTGTTTGGACCGTTTAAGGGTTAAGGTACTTTAGTGGGTTTTAATTACTGTACATACTGCATTACAAAAGTTTTACATGCTCTTGTACTTCATAGCATAACACCGTACAGTAGGGCCCCCACTTATATGGCAGGTTAGGTTCCAGGCTACCGCCAGAAAGCGGACACCGCTGGAAAGCAGAACACCTTTTTTTCCACTTGTAATCTGGCATTTGTATGCATTTGTAAGTTAATGGTAACATATATTAAACTAACAGTAGAACTAGGCATTAAAAAGCAATAAAAAGTAAAATACATACACAGTACATTCATTACTTTAAAATATTTGTAGTCCTAATGTAGGGTAAGAGGTGAATAAATACATAGCATTAGAAATCTTCTGTATGAAGAAAGATTGAAGACCCTTAAACTATGTTCACTTGTAAGACAAAGAATGAGGGGAGACGTGATCGAAATGTATAAGTGGAAGATTGGTATTAACAAAGGGGATACAAATAAGGTCTTAAGGATCTCTCTCCAAGAGAGAACCTGGAATAATTGATTCAAATTAGATAAGTTTAGATTTAGAAAGGATATAGGAAAGTACATACTAGTTTGATAATAGGGTAGTTGATGAGTGGAACTGTCTGCCTAATAGGGGTACCGAAGTTAAAACCTTGGGTAGTTTCAAATTTAGGTTGGACAAATATATGGGTGAGAGGGGTTGGATTTGAGTGGGACTTGCACATGAGTAAGTAGAATTATCAAAGCTTATTTTTTGGGTAGCATTGAAAATTGGGTTGGGCAAATATTTTGTTAGTGGGATGGATTGTGAAGGACCTGCCTAGTATGGGCCAACAGGCCTGCTGCAGTGTTCTGCCTTTATGTTATGTTATGTTATGTTAAAACGTTACGAGGTGAGTCAGGACGTGACGGGGTGAGTCAGGACGTGACGGGGTGAGTCAGGGCGTGACGGGGTGAGTCAGGTCATGTCAGGGGAAGCCATAAGCAGCGTATGGAGAATAAGGGGGTAATGAAGTTTGATCCAAGAAAGAAGAGGGTCGCTTCAGTTCCTCGTATCAAGAGCATTCATCAGCATCAAGGCAGCCATCTTAATGTTGATTAATGTTTAAAATAATGTGTTAATGGTATTGCCTCGGTACTTAAGACGTTTGTATCTTGTGATGTGTGTGTGTGTGTGTGTGTATCTGGTGTACAGGTAGACTATGTGTGTGTGTTTCTGGTGTAAAGGTAGACTAATGAGTGTGTTTGACAGAGGGTGAGGACGGGTGTGCGCCTGTCTCCAGCATTCCGTCAGACTACATCCAGTGTCAGCACTGCGAGAGGCACTTCGGACCCAAGGCAGCTGACAGGCACATCAGCTGGTGCAAGGAGAAGAGCATCAGGGTTCCCCGCTCACCGGCTGACAACCAGGCAGTGGAACGCCTCAAATCACGCACTAAGGTAAGTTACAAGGCGCCCCATCCCTCTGTTTAATAGTATGTTACTGTTGATAAGGTAGCCAGGTGGATAACCGTTTGACGAGTCTTTAAACAGTAATTTTCTGATTATTTATAGTGGGTTCCCGTTTTTCTGTTCTCGCGTCAGAACTTTCTGTCGTCTTTATCTTGTATTTCATATACGTATTGCCTTTCACATACCTGGGAGAAAGTTGGTTCAATCCCAGGGAGGAGCGGAGAGACGTATGGGTAAGGCACGTCGGTGGGACTGCAAGTAACAGTATCCTGGCTGCAACAGCCAGTGACTTGGGGGAACCAAGAGACGTTTCGGTCAGTCGCGATTTCATAATGGTCCAAGACGAACCGAAACGTCTGATTTTCATTTTCAGTTTGTGAGTTATGAAGGTGATCATGATGTGCTACCTTGTACCCAGCACGGGTAAGTCATGTTCCCACATTTTCATTAGCTTATGTACTCCAAGTGTGTCTAGTACTCTTCCTACATTAGTATAAGGTTGGTTCACTATCACATCACGTTCCTTTATCAATGCTAAGAGAACCATCAGAGACTGAGATTAAATTAGTCTTAATGTCTGGGTGAATTTTGGCCTTAGTGAGGGTCGTGTGGTCACTAGGCTATAACGCTGACACAGTAGCTAATAACTTTGGAAACCAACGAACCATTACAGTGTCAACATAAACCAGAATGATTAATTCCATTTATTAACCTCCACCTCAGAAAATAATTAGATAATAAATCTTTGTTGTATCCTGGTGAGAACATGAATGATTTGTAGGCCGTGGTGTAGCCTAGTGTTTATTATGGTGTAGTTTGGTGTGTTGGAAGATAATAGTGTTTATTATGGTGTAGTCTGGTGTGTTGGAAGATAATAGTGTTTATTATGATGTAGTCTGGTGTGGTGGAAGATAATAGTGTTTATTATGGTGTGTAGTCTGGTGTGTTGGAAGATAATAGTGTTTATTATGATGTAGTCTGGAGTGTTGGAAGATAATAGTGTTTATTATGGTGTAGTCTGGAGTGTTGGGAAGATAATAGTGTTTATTATGGTGTAGTCTGGAGTGTTGGAAGATAATAGTGTTTATTATGGTGTAGTCTGGTGTGTTGGAAGATAATAGTGTTTATTATGGTGTAGTCTGGTGTGTTGGAAGATAATAGTGTTTATTATGGTGTAGTCTGGTGTGTTGGAAGATAATAGTGTTTATTATGGTGTAGTCTGGAGTGTTGGAAGATAATAGTGTTTATTATGGTGTAGTCTGGTGTGTTGGAAGATAATAGTGTTTATTATGGTGTAGTCTGGTGTGTTGGAAGATAATAGTGTTTATTATGGTGTAGTCTGGTGTGTTGGAAGATAATAGTGTTTATTATGGTGTAGTCTGGAGTGTTGGAAGATAATAGTGTTTTATTATGGTGTAGTCTGGTGTGTTGGAAGATAATAGTGTTTATTATGATGTAGTCTGGTGTGTTGGAAGATAATAGTTTTTTAAATTATGGTGTAGTCTGGTGTGTTTGGAAGTAATAGTGTTTATTATGGTGTAGTCTGGTGTGTTGGAAGATAATAGTGTTTATTATGGTTGTAGTCTGGTGTGTTGGAAGATAATAGTGTTTATTATGGTGTAGTCTGGAGTGTTGGAAGATAATAGTGTTTATTATGATGTAGTCTGGTGTGTTGGAAGATAATAGTGTTTATTATGGTGTAGTCTGGAGTGTTGGAAGATAATAGTGTTTATTATGGTGTAGTCTGGTGTGGTGGAAGATAATAGTGTTTATTATGATGTAGTCTGGTGTGGTGGAAGATAATTCAAATTCAAATTCAAAGTTTATTCTCTATAAGGATTACAATGCTGAGTTTACAGAATTTGGTTATTGTGTGGTTTACATGTAGTAAAATAATAATTACAGAGTGTACCACTAGAACACCTAGCATGGCTAGGCATTTCGGGCAGACTTAAATTAAATCTTAAGTTTAAAATATTGCAAAATTATGAGGTAAGTTGGTATTATGGCTAAGTGACTAAATACTAGTTTGTGAGTTTAGCAATGTGAATGCTTTTGTTTTGGCACTATACATAGTTTCAGTATTGGAGTATCACAGGCCAACTTATGACTAGTTAAGATTCATTATTTTGAGATTGAGATAATAGTGTTTATTATGGTGTAGTCTGGTGTGTTGGAAGATAATAGTGTTTATTATGGTGTAGTCTGGAGTGTTGGAAGATAATAGTGTTTATTATGGTGTAGTCTGGTGTGTTGGAAGATAATAGTGTTTATTATGGTGTAGTCTGGTGTGTTGGAAGATAATAGTGTTTATTATGGTGTAGTCTGGTGTGTTGGAAGATAATAGTGTTTATTATGGTGTTTGTCTGGTGTGTTGGAAGATAATAGTGTTTATTATGGTGTAGTCTGGTGTGTTGGAAGATAATAGTGTTTATTATGGTGTAATCTGGTGTGTTGGAAGATAATGTAGATAATAGTGTGTATTATGGTGTAATTAGAATGAAACAGAGTAGAATGAATTGGAGAGCGTATAAATCTGTAAGAGGAAGGAAGGCGGGATAGGGGACGACCTAGGAAAGGGTAGGGGGGAGGGGATTAAGGGAGGTTTTGTGGGCGAGGGACTTGGACTTCTAGCAAGTATGCGTGAGCGTGTTATATAGGAGTGAATGGAGATGAATGGTTTTTGGGACCTGACGAGCTGTTGGAGTGTGAGGAGGGTAATATTTTGTGAAGGGATTCAGGGTAACCGGTTAGCTGGACTTGAGTCCTGGAACTGGGAAGTACAATGCCTGCACTTTAAAGGAGAGGTTTTGGGATATTAGCAGTTTGAAGGGACTTCTGAACTGTCGTATCTGAGCACCTCTGCAAAGACAGTGATTATGTATGAGTGATGGTGAAAGTGTTGAATGATGAAAGTTTTTTTCTTTCTTTTCGGGTCACCCTGCCTCGGTGGGAAACGGCCGACGTGTTTATATATATATATATATATTATATATATATATATATATATATATAATATATATATATATATATATATATATATATATATATATATATATATATATATATATATATATAGGTAGAGGTTGGTAGACAGCAACCACCCAGGGAGGTACTACCGTCCTGCCAAGTGAGTGTCAAACAGAAACCTGTAACTGTTTTACATGATGGTAGGATTGCTGGTGTCTTTTTTGTCTCATAAACACGCTGGGTAACAGGTATATCTTGCTACTTCTACTTACACTTAGGTCAAACTACACAGGCATGCACATGCACATATATACATACAACCAGGTTTTTCTTCTTTTTCTTAATAGGTCTTGTTCTTTATTTCCTCTGTTCTCTATGGGGAAGTGGAAAAGAATCCTCTGTAAGTCATGCGTGTCGTATGAGGCGACTAAACTGCCGGGAGCAATGGGCTAGTAACCCCTTCTCCTGTAGACATTACTAAAAAAGAGAAAAAGAAAAACTTTACAAAACTGGGATGCTTGAATGTGCGTGGATGTAGAGCGGATGATAGGAAAGAGATGATTGCTGATATTATGAATGAAAAGAAGTTTAATGTCCTGGCCGTAAGCAAAACAAAGCTGAAGAGGGTAGGAGAATTTCAGTGGGGAGAAATAGATGGGATTAAGTCAGGAGTATCTGAGATAGAGCTAAGGGGTAGCAATAATGTTGAAGGATCAGTAATGGAAGAAAAGGGAATATAAATGTATAAATTAAAGGATTATGTGGATTAAAATAAGGGTTGTATGCGAAAAGTGGGTCATAATAAGCGTGTATGCACCTGGAAAAGAGAAGTGTAGAGGAGAGAGAGAGAGATTCTGGGAGATGCTAAGTGAATGTATAGGAACTTTTGAACCAATTGAGAGAGTAATTGTGGTAGGGGACCTAAATGCTGAAGTAGGAGAAACATTTAGAGAGGGTGTGGTAGGTAAGTTTGGGGTGCCAGGTGTAAATGATAATGGGAGCCCTTTGACTGAACTTTGTATATAAAGGGGTTTGGTTATAGCTAATACATATTTTAAGAAAAAGAGGATAAATAAATATACAAGATATGACAGAGGGCGTAATTACAGTAGTTTGTTGGACTACTTATTAGTAGATAAAAGACTGTTGAGTAGACTTCAGGATGTACATGTTTATAGAGGGGCCACAGATATATCAGATCACTTTTTAGTTGTAGCTACTGTGAGAGTAAAAGGTAGATGGGATACAAGGAAAATAGAAGAAGCAAGTAAACGAGAGGTGAAGGTTTATAAAGTAAAGGACGAGGCAGTTAGGGTAAGATATAAACAACTGTTGGAGAATAGATGGGCTAGTGAGAGTATATGCAATGGGGTTGAAGATGTATGGGGTAGGTTTAAGTTTGTGGTTACAGGAAAGTGGGTGCGGGAGGGAAGAAGAGCGACTGGTGGAATGATGATGTACAGAGAGTAGCAAGGGAGAAAATGTTTGCATACGAGGGATTTTTACAAAGTAGAAGTGATGCAAGGAGGGATTTGACAGTTAAAAACAGGAGAGGAGAGTTATTAAATGGAGAGTTAAAGGGATTGGGAAGATGGAGGGAATATTTTAAGGAATTGTTAAATGTTGATGAAGATAGGGAAACTGTGATTTCGTGTATAGGATGAGGAATAACATCTTGTAGGAGCGAGGAAGAGCCAGTTGTGAGTGTGGGGGGAAGTGCGTGGGGCAGTGAGTAGAATGAAAGGGGGTAAGGCAGCTGGGATTGATGGGATAATGCAGAAATGTTAAATGCAGGTGGGGATTTACTTTTGGAGTGGTTGGTGCTATTATTTAATAAATGTATGGAAGAGGGATTTACAGTGTGCAAAGTTCCTTTGTATAAAGGCAAAGGGGACAAAGGAGAGTGCAAAAATTATAGGGGAATAAGTCTGTTGAATATACCTGGTAAAGTGTATAGTAAAGTTATTATTGAAAGAATTAAGAGTAAGACATAGAGTAGGATAGCAGATGAACAAGGA